TGGACAATAACACAACGTTGTTCCAGGAAGATGGAGCACCGTGTCACACTGCTAGAAACACCCATTAGTGGCAGGAAGAAAATGGAATCCAGAAGTTGCCCTGGCCGAGCCAATCTCTTGACATAAACCCCATCAAAAACCTCTGAGCCTTACTCGACCGGCAAGTCAAGAAACAACCAAAAAAACCAACTTCGAAGAGCGATCTACTCCAAGTTTTGAAGGTCCTTTGGGGCATCGTGAGAATCATCTCGTCAATTTTAGATTGTGGGATTTTCGCCCACTCTTGGGCTGAAATTTTACTGATGTAAACTGCAATATTTTTATATATTAAAAGTGGTATCGTTTATTAAAAAAATAATAGTTTTTCATAATTCCAATTTCTAAGTACTACATTTAAAAATTACATCAATAAAGATATATTCAAACCCTCACGTACACAGCGTGGTCACAAGTAAATAGACACCACCATTTCAGAAAAAAAATGACATTTTTCAGTCATATTCACATGAATTGATATATATATCATTTAATTAATATCTAGTAGATCTTCCTTTCGCTTCGTGGAGTTCGTTGATGTACATTGAATCATTTTGATGCAATGGGTTGCATATGACTAAAGAGCACAATCCGAAAATTGTTTTCCGTGCAGTACTTCCCAGAAAACTCCCCTTTTTTTAAATGTTCCCTTTTTCTAAATTTTTTCAATGAAGTATGAATACTACGATTAGTAATTACTAGCACAAACAGCCGCCCTTAGGGCGGCGTTTTTATGCTAATAATATTAATTATAGAAATATGTCTCATGTATTTTTACAGTTTATTTCTATATCTCATCAAATCCCTTATTTCATTTGTAATTGATGTTTTTTAAATAGATTTTTATAGCTTCAGTCGAATTATCATATGAGTATTAGATATTTCTATAAATCTTTCTTAAGCAGTGTTAACATTTTAATGTATATCAACTTCTCGTGTGATGTTACTTAAATGTAAATTTTATGTCCTAATTTTTTTAATAATGCTTACATTCAATGCAACAGAAAAGAGACCTCAGTGAAACTAAAAATTGCTGTATGTGGAACATTTTATTTTGTATTTCTTATAAATACACATATCTAAAAACAAAAAGTTTGGTTAACTCTTTAATTCACTCATTTGTATATGATACAAATCCAAGCATACTCAACAAATAAAGTAATCAGTTACAGTATTTGTTTATTCTAATAAATCAATATTTATATCACAAACATGTTATCAACATGAATATAATTTATTATTAATTCAAGTTCCCACGAACACTCAAAATATGTGTTATATATACACGACTGTTTCATTTAAATTTAATATGAAAGATATGGTTTAGATAGTTATAAAGCATGAGTGTTAAATTTAGTATTTTTTTAGAAGCAATAATTTATCGCAGGTTTGCTTACATAACTGTGTACGAGTCATTTGTTGTGTAGATAAGTTGTTGTGAAATGACGTCATGTTACTCGAACCTTCTGAAGTTTTCTCGTTGCTTTAAGTAAGAGTTGTTGCATCACAACGTCTCATAGTTTGTAGAAAGTTCTAGGCCGAATCGGGCAATAGTTAGTGAAAGTAAAAGTGAAAAAGTGAAGTTAGACTGCGTATGAGTTTAGCTATAATGAGCGATTTCTAAAGTGTGCTACACAGCTTGTATTGTAATAACAGAGATAAAGGAGAATAATTTGTCTTGTCTAAAGTAATTGAACCCGCCTGTGTGGACTTTGACGAAAAAAGAGATAGTTCTTTAAAGCTCTTGATACAACTGTGATAACCACTGGTGTAACGAATTTTTGTACATACGTTTGACTTATTTTGAATATATTATGTATTATTTTAAAATAAGTGGATTGTGTGCTGTCCATTTATTGTTGAAATTTACCACCAACTAGCCATAGGCATCTACTGTAAAGAACTGGGCTCTCATAAAACCTGACAGTGTAAAACTGACAGATCTGTATATGACCAGCATAAACACACCATAATATTTTAGGTATATATTAGTTTTGTCAAACTGCGAGATCTGTATATAACCATCATAAACACATCATAATATTTTAGGTATATATTAGTTTTGTAAAACTGCGAGATCTGTATATAACCATCATAAATACATCATAATATTTTAGGTATATATTAGTTTTGTAAAACTGCGAGATTCTGTATATAACCATCATAAACACATCATAATATTTTAGGAATATATTACTTTTGTAAAAGTGCAAGATCTATATATAACCATCATAAACATACCATAGTATTTTATATCTGTATTAGTCTTCTGCAATTGTCATTTTATGTTTTCAAGATATTTTACTTTTATAAATTTTTAACATATGCGTTTCCTTCTCCAGATCTATTGAACTGTCTACAGTGTAAAATATATTACGTCTATTAAATTAAAACCGTCTAATTTTAGCCCTATCACAATCAAATCAGTATATGTACTTTTAACCTAAATATTTAATAACAATTCACTTCATTAATATTCATTCTTAATACTTCATATATTTATGTGCATTAATTTTATTTGTTTCACTTTCTTATACTCATTAAAGCATTCACTTCTGTTACATCCGACCAAAATTAAAGTCTTATTAATATTTGCATTAAACGTTTGCTGACATTCATCCTCTCTTTTGTTCCATGTTTCTTTTTCTCTCTTCTTTGTCTCTTAGTCTTCATATTTCAGACATTTCTGATTTTCTCATAAATTGTTTTCTTTCCTATACCCAAATATATTCAAAATTTAATGAGGTTTAATTTTCTATTTCGTTCTTTTTGTACAATAGTTGTTATATTGTAGGCGTGAGTTGTTCAATTAAATATATTTCATATTCTTTAAATTTTGGGTCTATATATCAACACTCCTGAAATTATAATTTGTAAACTTGCTTAACATTTATTTCTTACGATATTTGATCTAAGTTTTACTATTACATGTTTAATCCTGATTCTGTTTGCAGTCAGAACACTACGTACGGCTTATATGTCATCCTAATTAATATTAACATTAATTCTATCTGCTATTTTATTGTATTATTCTACTTGCTTTCTTCAAACAATTTTCTAACTTTGATTACTCGAGTACTGACTCAGTTCATAAACTTCTGCCCCCTAGTGGACAGCAGTATGTCTACGGTCTTACAACGCTAGAATCCGGGTTTCGATACCCGTGGTGGGCAGAGCACAGATAGCCCATTGTGTAGCTTTGTGCTTAATTACAAATATAAACTTATTGATCAATGAACTTACGTGCCGTATGTGGCCTAATTATAAGCATGTGGAACTGTGAATCTTGATGCCCTTGGTTTGAGTCCCGTTTTCGCACAATCACACTCCACACTTTGAGGTCGTCGATCATTGGCTACCTTGCCTGTAGTATATCAGTTCTAAGTTTGCGACGAATGTTTCTTGTGCAGCTTTCTGCGAATATCGAAACAAGCGGTTAACTCTCTGCATGTTGTTCTCGATGACGTCGTTACTCCCTCGGGTTTGATGGTGTGCTAGTATTCCCCTCATCGTTGTAAATGTCTGTTACACTTGGTACATTATAATTATTCTTAAACATAAATCGACTACGTTAACATTTTGCTTTTTTCCCTTTGATAATTTAAGAAACCGAGACTCTCCAAATTCAGCACAATAAAAATGCCAATGTCCTTTACATTTCTAATCAGTATACAAAAATAAAATCTGATATCTCAGAAATTCCTTCGCCACACACACGTTACTTCTCAGAAGGTTAACGTTGCTGATATGTACCTTTTAGCCATCTATTTCGCTTCACGACCGAATGATTTTCTATCAAACACGTTTATTTCTAAACATTCTTTGTAAAACGGTTAGCAGCAGAGCTAAAAGCCACTTGATTTTTAAAAAATAATGTTCTATTAACTGAAAAATTAAATTGTTTAACAATGACATCGTTTTTTATTTATTTATTACGTATTAAAATATACCGCTAGAGGGCAACAAATATGCGACACGTACAGTTGTACAGATTAATGTATTTTTAACGATGATTTGTTTGTTTGTTTGGAATTAAGCACAAAGCTACACAATAGGCTATCGTACTCTGCCCACCACGGGTATCGAAACCCAGATTCTAGCGTTTTGAGTCCGCAGACATACCGCTATGCCACTGGGGAGCATTTAACGATGAATATTGATGAACATAGAATATTTTTTTTTATTGATGACTATAGATGTCCTCTTCCACCACACACGACTTCTGGATCTCAACCAAATGAACAATAATTTTCAGCTGTAAAGAATCTAAATTTACTTGTTTTTCAAGGCTGATACACTTTTAAGGCATGAACTTTCACACTCTCTTATTTGTCAAATTAGTTTTTTTTGTTAGTTTGAGAGCAAAGTCAAATCATGCCTTCTGCTGTATCCTCTGCGACAAATTGAACCCTGGATCTTAGCATTGTAAGTTCATAGACTTACCGTTGTCCCGCCGGGGGACAAATAGACAATCTTTGTTTGTTTGTTGTAGTGCTAAACCACATTGAACTATCTGCTGTGTCTACGGTGGGGAATTAAATCAAAGCCGCAAGGATTTTTTTGCGTTATAAATCTGTAAACTTACCGTCGACCCAACAGTGGACATATTTATTAGAGAAAAGCGTTAAGGCCCCAGTAAAATAATGTCTTTTTTTAAGTTAAAACAACACTTAACGCTTCTCAAATAGTGAAACAATAATAGAGGTGTGTTTTTAATTTCTCTACTCCGGTTGATAAAACAATCCCTTATCAGTATTTTCAGATAAAATTGGTTGTAAAGTTTGGATGCAATTTTGAGCGAGTGTTTTCCAAACAGAATTCAATTCCGTAACGATTTCTTTGTACTTAGGTTACAAAAGTATCTTGCATCCGGTTGTATTGTTTGATGCTTGGGCAATCACGTGTTTGTACATTTACGCTTGTTTTTACGTGATCCTGCGTCATCACTGATAGCGGTGTGTTCTACAATTCTCATAACTTCCATTCAGTTAATAGTGAAGCAAGAACAGTTGGGTGCGTTTCTTTCCTCCGGATGTGAAGGGGTGAATGGATATTCCCATATCTCTGCTCAGTGTTGTATGCGCACGAACAAACTTATGAAATATTTACCTAAACATTCAACGTTCATTAACCACATAGTTTCATTCTTACTTAAGTGTTGCAGAGTACAACGAGGAAACAGCTTCGAAAATCTAAGCTTGCCATGAAAAATAATCGAACCGATCTACATATCGCATTGACAGTACTGTCCTTGATATTAATTTTTGACCACGTAAGTGCTGCATTATCACAGTACAATCTTCTTTATGAGAGGTAAGAGATCAAGTCAGCATTTTAATGTCATTTAAAGTCATTTTCTATAGTTTTATGTTATGACTGGTATATATATATATATAAGGGAGTGTTATACTTAGGTTTGAATACACAAGTTTCCGAAAGAGAGCGTGAAAAATAATGTCCTTCACTTTCTTATATTAAGTTAATGATGTATTATTTTATCAATATTTATACTTTTTAATTGTTATAGTAAGTTTGATTTTTTCTTCAATACTTTTAAGTTAACTATATCTCTGTTACGTCTCTGTTTCGTTAATTGATTTTCCGTAACTTCGTTCCTACGAAACTTAAGCGACACAAGTCCTTTCTTAATAAAACTGATTTATTCTTTCCGAATATAACTTTACAGATACACACAACTTCAACAATCGCGTTAAAACAAACGCTAATCAACGAACGTCAACAATACTTCCGACTGCAGTTCAGTTACTCACTATCTACCCACACATTACAATAATCTCCCGCGTCACGTTTTCCCCTATTATATATATCCGCCTACCCCATCTAGCAAACACTAGAGCATTCGCCAAAGTACATGATAGTTCTAGAAACGTTGCGTCACAGTAGTCATGTGACTCGATGACGCAAGACTGCCCCCTCCTTAGTATTGTTCGTCCCGAACAATAACCACACACAATAAACCAATAACAATAACAATAACTTAA